AATGCCAAACATAGCTTCGGTAGGTTCCTGTTTCGGATCCAGCGGGAGGAAACGCCCGAGTGTCGTCATTGTGAGGACCACCTAGAGGATACGGTGGAGCATACGGTAGCGGTATGCCCTGCCTGGGCTGAGCACCGCCGTATCCTCAGGGAAGTGATCGGCGGCGGCGACCTCTCGCGCCCGGCCTTAGTCGAGGCCATGGTGCGGAGTGAGAGGAACTGGGACGCCGTCTCCTCCTTTTGTGAAGCAGTCATGCTCGCAAAGAGAGAGGCGGCCCGCGTGAGGGAACAATCCTCCTCCTCACGCCCCAGCAGCCGCAACTGGCGACACTACGGGCGTCGGGGATCAAGGGGCGATCTCCGGCCACCGTAAGCACGGGCCTGCGGTCGGCGAGTAAGGGCAGCTCGCCTCCCGACCAGAACCAGGCCCGAGCGTACGGCGTGTAGCGTTCCGCGCGCGCCTCAAAGAGCCATTAGACCACCACAGACGGGGCCCTAAAGGGCTGATGTTCAGCCGGGGTTGCGGGGTAAGCGCAATGAGGCACCGCGACCTCGGCATAGAGCAGGAGAAGGAACAGGGGGGTTTTTAGTCAGTAAGAGTCTGACACTCCCTCCTGCCCGTCCCTGGGCGGGAGAAGTCATTTGATGATTTTCCCCTCACCAAAAAAAAAACGAGCAGACGAATTACAAAGACGGCAAACGAGGCTACAGATTACTTGATGGTAAGCAATCAGCGCCACCCATGGACACCCGCAACGGAGGAGTTACGAGTGCATTGCCAAACTCTTAGGGATTTTTTTTTATTTAATAGGTCGGCAAACGAGCAGACGGATTACCTGATGGTAAGCAATCAGCGCCGCCCATGGACACCCGCAACGGAGGAGTTACGAGTGCGTTGCCGACCTTTTAGGGATTAGGGATTTGGAGATTTAGGAACTGGATTAGGGAAGGGGAAGGATTGGGCCTCCAGTAACCTCACTCACACAGCGAAACACAACACTATGGTTGTTTCACGCCGGTTTTCTGTGAGGCCGTGGTATCTATCACTCCGGTCGAGCCGACCCATTCGTGCCGAAGCATGGCTCTCTCACACAAATAAATAGCATTCCTTCGTTTCTAAAGAAATATTTCAATCTGTTATCCAATGGCTCTTACATGCCCACTTAATTGCTAACCAGTTTTGTACAAGAAGAATGCGTCCGTAGTAAATAATATCTTCCAAAAAGGTTGAAATGTTTGGAATGTAATATCACAAAGAGATGTTTGTTGGACACATTCCGTCGTAAATACGTAGTTCGAGAACACAGCCGAGTTATTGTGTAATTAAATTGATGTAAACTGTCGCGAACAGTACAGTTAGTAGCCATACCTTTACAATGCTCAGATTTACGCTAACAGTTTCTTTATACGAGTCTTGCGTCATTTAGTCTTACAATTCGGTTATTTGTGTTTAATTGATGCGCAATATCACTAGATAGTATAAAAAACAGTCGCTTTCTCTTTTTGTATGCTTAAATCTTTTAAACTACGCAACGAATTTTGATTCCGTTTTTTGATTGAAGAGGAAGGTTTATATGTATAATAACATCCATTAAATAGTAGAGAAATTCAGTATCAGCCAGCACTTTGCACCTGTGTAAAGCCTCTAGTCCTTAATAAAGTGGGGATAATCGAATGTTAACAGTTTTGAGCAAGCAATCATCTAGCCAGATTTTGACTCATGTTGCGGGTTAAGCGCAATTTTATTAATCACCGCGGCCTCGGCCCAGAGCAGGAGAAGGAACGGGGGTATTTTTAGCCGGTAAGAGTCTGACACTTTCTCTCTCTCGCCTAACCCTGGGAAAAAGTTTTAATAAAATATATTGTATTAATTATTGATTCATGTCTATAAGTAGTTAGTCGGGGTTGCGAATCAAGCGCAATAAGATGACGGCCTAAAGCAGGAGAAGGAACGGGGGGTTTTTAGTCAGTAAGAGTCTGACCGTCCCTTCTCGCCCCACCTTGCGCAACAGAAGGTATTTAAAACTTGCCCTCATCAAAAAAAATTGTGGTGGTGGTAGTGGGATTGGTGATAGAGAATTAGAGCTACAAGATTGTTTTAGAAATTTTATTTGGAAAATGCAATCAGCCATGAATTGAATACTTGTAGATTTTTTTGGTTTTTCGAATTTGACATTCGATTAAAACTGACAACTGTTTCATATTCATAGCATAGTTTGTGTTAGTGGAATGTTCTGGGAATCTGTGTGAATGGAAGACACACGGTACAATGTATCTTTCTCTCGCTTCCCGCTTTACTAGCGGTCAATGTGTTGCTGAGTGTTAATCTCGAGAACAGCTGAACCGATTTCGATTTTTTTGTTAAGCAAGAATAGTAGAGATTTCCCGCATTTATCATTGGGAAAATTGCTACACAAACAATACTTTTGATGACGTGGTTGTACGCTGACAACGCAAATAAATAACACCCTGGTAGTTAGATAGCCGTGCGAAACAGTTTCTGGGCACTAGTACATAATTTTTGAAGCTTTAAACACCAATTTCTATACAACAGACAAGCGAATTTAGTGCTACAGACATACTCTCTAAATACAAATTTCCATGTAGCGGATGCATTTTATTTTTCATTTCGAATAATGCTGTTACTGCGTTACAAAGTTACAAAGCTTACTTAGTTAAATTACTGCAGAGCAATTTTATAAATGGATCTCTGCAAAGTGCAACTTGGGACTGTGCTTAGCTCTTTCTGCCAATGTATTTAACTGTGAATACAAAACCACGTACCTAACAGTGAATGCACAAAGGAATCTTTGTACTGAATATAGTATTATGAATTATTTCCTTTTGAGCCATACAGTCATCTTATTGGGAGAGGGATTGCCAGAATTACTGACTAGTTTCTTCTATAGCTCCGAACGGGCCGCGGCCAGCATCAATGGGCTCCATCTTTTTTTTTTGACGGTGAAGATCTTTACCTTTTATGAATCAAGTAACAATGGACAACTTATCACCATGAACATTCTGTTCAGCAATGGCACTTGTGATGCGACCACTCAACTTTTTTGCCATCGGCCCAAACGAAAATACTTTCATTTCCATCATTAGGCCGTTGGCAGTCAACAACTGTGTGATTTTCGCGAAACTTTCTGCTTCACATTAGCAAAGCAAAGCTTTGGAATGATCTTTCGCCGGCGCTATTCTCGAATTGATACCTACGACCTTTAAACATCAAAAAAACTCGCGTACTTCTTCTAAAAAGTTTGGCAACGCGCCTGTGACTCCTCTGCTGTGCAGCGCTAATTAGTTACATCAGGTGATCAGGCAGCTCGTACGCCTTTTTTTTCATAAAAAAAGCTGAAGTAACAATGCAGTCAATATACAGATTATAAAATACTAAAGCTTATTACTCTCGTCACAGTAAATTAACGTACATTACGAGTTTAAATCATAATAATACTTTTGACATAAAATTAGTGTTCAAGCGGAAAATCTTGTCCATAATACGCGCGCCATTTCTTTGCAAGGCAGAAATTATGCAGAGACGCTACCTACGACCTACTAAATGAATATATGAATATGTATGCGCCTAGACTACTTTTAGAGTTCCTTATTGAATTAAGAAAATGTGCAATTTCATGTCAAAGTATTATTGTCTTTGTGATAAAACTGCATATTTTCTTAACTTCTTCGTTCTAAACACTTTTTAAAAGTGGTGACGGCTAATGTGTGGGAGGATTACCTGAAAGTATAAGTCACCGGCGCCCATAGACATCTCAACACTGGAAGACAAACAAGTGCGTTGCCCGCCATAAAAAACTGTCACAAAATTATCTTTTTGATTTTTGTTTGGTCTTTTAAACGTTACACCATAGACGGTTTGTTAATCTACTCTACGACTGAACACTGGCAGTCCAAAATCCAGCATTAGAGAATCGGGTACTATCCAAGAAAAAAGCTCATCATCACTAACATTACATTGAACACAAGCCACATGATACACAATCACACTCGGATCCGGAATCACAGTAGGTATGTGAGAAATTTTACAACTGCAGAAGCGTGTTCCGCATTGCATTGAAGAATGAATTTATTTCATATTTCTCAAAAAAAAAACTCACATTTTATATTTTTCTCCGAAATATCACAGAAGTACTGACATAGATATCTATCGTTCTAGGAAAAAGATATCGTAGTGTTAAACCACATTTTTGTGATTGAAAACTACTTTTAACATTTTTCTTCGTATTTTTTTATGGAATAGGAAGCAAACGAGCAGACGCATTACGTAACATACAAATAACACCATGCTATTTTTTTTTTCTGCTTAAACCTAACCGATTCTACGAGTTTTTCCATCATATAACAATTCAAGCTTAATAAACTATTCAGAAAAACAAAATTGAAAACAAGCAGAACCCTTTCAATTGTTTTTTATCTGAACTCTCCCATTTGAAAGAAAGTCCAATTAAAAACTGCAAGTAACTTATATTAGTTACCCTCCAAGTTTCGCTTCGCTTGCTCATTTTATGGTTAATAAATTTATTTTACAACTTACTTAGGAGGCTGTAGAGATGTTGTCTGGAGATGGCTTTCAGACATTTTCATAATACTACGCGCGACAATATGAATAAGATAACTGCAGTAGCTGGATGAGAAGAGCTGAATATCGAGCTAAGAACTGTCAACACTTTTATTAAGTGCTGATAATGATAATGATAACTTTGTTAAAATTTGTAGAATAGAAATCAATTAAAATATTTTCACCATTCGCACCTAAAAAAATGACGATGGGAAGACACAATGAAAAGATTAAGAATCAAATCCAATGCAGAATGAGAAAATCGTCTATTAAAGCTATTTTAATCTAAATCAATAATACTAAAAATGTTATCTAAAATCAAAATAAAGTATTAAAATGATTGGGTGAACGTTTTCACAGGTTATGTTATCCTTTTCATCGGTGGCAGTTTGTGGTCGTAGTAGTTGCAGCATTTCAGTTAGTTAATCAGGTGGTATTAAACCATCAGCAATCATTTTCTGCCTCCTAGCCTCATCCCGAGCCCTTTTCTCAGCTTCTTTTCTTTCCTGCTCTTCCTTCTGTTCCTGCGCCTTCTTTATAGCCAATTCAGCTAAGGTCTTCTGATCCAGTTTAAAGTAGTTTATTGGTTCCTTGAAGAATCGCGCATCTCTGTTATTCATGTTCTCCACAAACTTCTCATAACAAAACTTACCATCTTCCTGGTTATACGTCTTATCCCTTATGGCCAGTTTCATCCAATCCATAAATTCTATCTCCAAAAGTGGTTCCCCCCATTGCATAAGTTCTTCCCTGAATAATTCAAAGTCCACGAATCCTGTCTCTTCGTCGTCATGTCCTAGTGCAGCCATCGCACGGGTTATATCTATCTCAAAATCATCTCCAAAGTTAATTTTAGCTTCTATCATTTGCAGAAATTCATGAAACTCTACCGTATCAACAAGATCATCCTCTAAAAACATTTCATACATCTTATTTACTTCTGCAGTTTTCGGGTTTAATCCTATCTTCCTTAGCATCGTCGGTATTAACTCTATATGTACCTGCAGAATTTAAACAATAGGTGTTATCATGAAGTTATCATCAGGTAAATATTTTACACAAATAAGTGATCTGCAAAATTCGCCCTACAAATTTTGAATAGCTTATCCATTTTCCATATTATGAGCATTTGAATAACTTTGTAGCACAGCCGGTTGACACGTGTAATCGAGAGTAGTTACATTTTGTAGATAAATACACTACACTTATAATGTCCAATTATGTAGTGTAGAAGTCAAAAAAATAACACACCTATTACTATTCGTCAGTAATTTGTTTATAATTGTAGTTGTTATTAGTATTCGTCAGAATGTATTCATTTATAATTATATTTATGTCGTGAGTCAAATGCAATAAACTTATTGCCATAGACATCGGACAAAATTTCATTTTAATTAGGTACTTATACTAAAGTTTTCTAAAAGTTGCCTACCACTTTGGGTTGACCTAATTATAGTTCACGTTATAACAAATCTTCTTGATTTTGAGTAAGGAGTTTGAGTTCTAATAAAACTCGCTCCTACCTTATCGATCCCTTCCTCATCGTATAATCTAAAGATTTCTTTATATCTCATTATATCATCGTTTGTAAAACAAGCAGGTGGAGGTGGTATTTTCTTCGGTTTTGGAGGTGGACCCATCAGTTTTATTGCGGACTTTTTATTTTTATCTTTCTTTTGTGCTTTTTTCGGAGCCATGTTTATCCGCACATTAAAATCTCATAAAACCAAATGCAGGGTTTAAGAAAGGGCGTTATGAATTTAGCTTATCCTTAAAATATTAAGAAACGACTTGAATCCTTTGAGTTCTTAGCAAAAATAATATATCTGCATTGTCCGGTATGCTATTTAAGAAACTTCATTTTGACGACTTTGACAAGCGCTATTATTTTCAAAATTAACAACATAAATAAGGTTGTCGAGGCGTTTACATACTTTTTATTCCAAAAAGTACATATAACATGTAGCAACAAACGCATTTCAGTCACACATGTGCACATAAATCTATTGGGGACACATGGCGCACGAGTAACAAACGACTAACGGAATAGATTCCCTGCCCCACTGCCCGAATTTAGAACATTCAACTAAATAGCAATTTAAGCTGGGTGGCCACGGATAAAATCAGATTAGGGGCCCACGATCAAACCACCAACATGAACCGAAGAACCAAACTACCCATCCGAAAATAGGGCTGTCAGTAGAATCCCTGCCCTGTAGTTTTAAAAAGTTCAATGTAAAACAACAATGGCGTCAGGGCACCAGCTCTTGTTTGTTTACTTTCTCGTATCGGACACATGAGTAGTGCCTCAAATTGCTTTGATCCTGCACTAAACCCGAATACCCGTGATATAAAGGACTAACAAAACTTTCTATACGAAATAAGGCAGTTTATGCCTCAGCTGAGCGTGAATTTTGTAGCGGGAATTGTCTTTCGTATGGCAGCCCTAGAGAATTGCACATTTTCCGGACGGACACCTGTGTTAAACGGATTGAATTCCATTAAATATGTTTACATGACCGGGGAAACTAGTGTAGGGCATAGGTAAGCTCTAAATAACGTTATTATAGATATCGTTTTTATTGATGATACCTTCTGTATTTTAAGATTTTTTATCTCATATCAAACTAAGTAAGTCTAGCAATTACGTTCTCAATAGATTAAGTTACAATCCTAACAACTGACAGGTACCAGATTTTCATGAAGTACAAAAGCAAAGATAGGACATAAAATATAGCTACCTACATATTTTATTCTCCTGAATGCTAATTGCCAATGATGTTCCGCGATCCAGCTCGAATCAGAAGGAACTAAATGCTTATTTAGTCAGGGTCTGCCACTGACTAAACCACGGACTAACCACCTCGCCCCAATGAAGGTAGGTGAAAAAAATTGAAAATAATTCTTGATTTTATACGAATAAATAACCAAGTTATTTTAAGAAGCTCTGACCAACAATAATAGTATTTATTTACAGATACCGTACCTAAATAACTTTTAACTGAATTTGAGGTCGAAAGTGAACTAAAGTTATTCTCCCACACAGACAAGAATAGAACATTATCATAGTTCGTAGGGGGCGTACAATAATACTAATAGTAGGTATCTCTAGTTTTTGTAGGAGTTGGCCTTGAAACAAAACTTGTACATCACGCCCTTAAATATTAAAGTTAATTTAAACTTCATTGTTCTTCTAAGAATTTCATACACTGCATAAAAGATAGAAGTATAGTTTGTAGAAAAACTTATCAATGGACCTACGACAAAAAAAGAGTAACCATGGAGTTTCTTACCCGTTCTTCTCCATCGGAATCTACACTTTGGAACGAGTAAATTTGACCGACAGATTTTTTTTATTGAATAGGTCGGCAAACATGCAGACGGATTACCTGATGGTAAGTAATCAGCGCCGCCCATGAACACCCGTAACGGAGGTGTAACGAGTGCGTTGCCGACCTTTTAGGGATTAGGGTTTTGATGATTTAGGGATTGGGAGGGATCGGGGGACCCCTCCCCCTAGGATTGGGTCTCCGGTAACCTCACACACACGGCGAAACACAACGCTGTGGTTGTTTCACGCCGGTATTCTGTGAGGCCGTGGTATCACTCCGGTCGAGCCGCCCCATTCGTGCCGAAGCTTGGCTCTCCCACACTTAGAATGAAGAAGAATGACTCTATCTTCAAAATTTTGTTTGACGTTCAAAAGTGCCTGCAAGGGACTAATTGGAATCTATAAGGCTGATGTTCAGCCGGGGTTGCGGGTTAAGCGCAATGAGTCACCGCGGCCTCAGCCCAGAGCAGGAGAAGGAACGGGGGGTTAGTCTGTAAGAGTCTGACACTGTCTCGCCTTACCCTGGGCGGAAGAAGTCATTTGATGATTTTCCCTGACAAAAAAAGGTCTAGGCCTAATTGCAATAAATGATGTTATGTTAAAATGATTTTATTGATTTCTATACGCGGGTATATCGAAGGGATAAGGAATGAGAAATTAATGCGTACTCTCGTTGCTATCCGATAAGTTTTTTTGACAAATCTGGAGTTGGTTGGGGGTTAAGGTTGGTTGGAGTCTATAATCATGTGGAGCTTGTGCGATAACTAAAACGACCCAATTAACTTTGAGTATTGCAACTTCTAGTATTGACTATGGTATCATCTAACTAATTTATCAGGTTCTCTTCATAAGAGCGATATTAGTAGCGATAGAAGATAATATACCAGAGTAAGTACATGGTACCTTTAGATCTTTTATTTCACAAAGTTTTATTTGCAAGACATTAACCGTTGGTAATTAAGCAATGGCCCATTTTCCTCAATTAGGAACGTAATAACCTTCAATTTTACAGAAGTTAAAACCGAAATTATTGGTTAGCGAGCTCAATAAACCTTCGCTGAATTGCTATTGGCAATCCAAATGTTCTAAATTTTCTGTCGTCAACCATTACCGGTATCACATTTTCAAGTAACAACATCGAATAAAAACATGCTCGGCAACAGTCCACACTATAGGTAGGTATTGCATTTTATAAATATAAAGCTGTTAGGGCCATTCCATAAAGTTAAAAGCAATTTTAATGAAAGTGTCAGTGGGTAATACATAACCGCATTTTATGTAGGAGACGATGGATGTTGATACATCCATTTTTAGACTTTATTTGATCATCGCCCTACTTCATATAATAATATGTCGTAAAAGAGATTTTAAGTAGATACCTACATAAATACGCAATCCTTAATGGCCAGTTAGCAATAAATCAAACCATTCAAACACACGTGTTTGGCGTTTTTCCAATACCTACACTACAACCGAAAGGAGAGTAAGTAGATAATTATGGGCCCGCGACTTACAATAAAAGCTTGTTGAAAAGGATACTACGATATACTTATTTCTATTATAAAAAACTGCCATTCAATCACTTGCCTTGAAAACTTTTGTTAAATTTAGGTAAAATTCAACCGAAGAATTTATCTACATTAAAACGGGTGCGGCAAATATTAATAATCAGTTTCAACGATAGAAATCCTCGCTTTCCTAAAAGGGAACCTAACAACCAAGTTTATTGAAATACTTAACACATAATGAGAAGGTTGCTCATAGGTAGGTAGGTAGGTACTCATGGTCAGGCCTTGAACATCTATTTGTTAGTCTATGATTTCGTAATTCAACTTTCGAAATTTTACTGTTTGAATAGCCTACGAATTATAATGTTGTATTTCGCAACTAAACAATTCCCCTCAATTCCATAAAACATAAAGTTAATTGCAAAGTTCAAAAATAACTTACATGTACTTAGCAGAAAAACAAAACGATCTTCGAATCTTCAAACTTGCAGAAATTAAACGTTAATGTCAACGTTCAGAAATAGAATAGGTATTTTCTTTAGGTACTATGGGATTTTATTTAAGCTCATAAAACGAATTAATTAATATGTCAATTATTCTTCTTTTTTAAATATTTAATATCATATTAAATATATAAATATAAAATTTCAGAAAAGTAACAAAATCTAAAATATGTGTCAAAAGATATTAAATTTTATTAGTTTCAGAACGCATAAGGAACTGACGCCAATTTTGACAGTTAGTCTAATGAGTCCTCGCTACGCTAGCGTTTACGTTGTAGTAATAAAATCTAACAGGAAATAATTCTTTTAATTCATAACTTTAGTGTTTTTATTTATCAAAACCAAGATGGTAGCGCGGGTGGCTGGTGTTTTTGATGAAAAGTTGACGGAAGCTATCGCTAATTCTAAAATATTAGTGGTGGGGGCCGGCGGTATAGGTTGTGAGATACTCAAGAATCTCGTGCTAACCGGCTTCCCAAACATTGAAATTGTATGTACAACATTTGTTTAATATTGAGATCAAACTTGTGGAGGTGTGAAATCATTAGTCATGTGTTTATTATTACAGATCGACCTTGATACCATCGACGTAAGCAATTTGAATCGTCAATTTCTTTTTCACAAAGAGCATGTCGGAAAGTCGAAGGCGCAGGTAGCGAAGGATAGTGCGCTCAGTTTTAACCCGAACGTGAACATTGTGGCTCACCACGACAGTGTTATCAGGTTAGTCATACTTCTGCGTATATTGAATGCTAAACATGTGTAAACAATCTCATTCTGCAGTGTCAGTTGAATGGACAATATAGATGCGAAAGGTCATTGACTTGTTTTCGCAATTTTATATGAATGATGGGTAATCCAATGAGACTGTTTATTTAATCTACCCTTTTCCATGTGTCACAAAACATGTAATCCCAAATCTTATAAGACTCAACCATAAGGGTACCCACTAACCCCATTGTAGAACTTATTTCTGGTCAAGAGCCAGCCCAGTAGTAAATAAAACAATCTTGTAACTATACACTACAAACATATTAGCTGCCACTCAGTAAACTCAGTAATATTAATCATTTTTCTCTTTATTCCAGCAATGACTATGGAGTGAGCTACTTCAAACAGTTCCAAATTGTTATGAATGCTCTGGACAACCGTGTGGCTCGTAACCATGTGAACAGAATGTGTCTCGCTGCTAATGTCCCCCTCATTGAAACTGGAACTGCTGGTTACGCTGGACAGGTAATAAGCTTGATTACATTTTAACTTAGATCAATGAAAAATTCACACATTATATGCATGTTCACTGGAACTGTTTCATGGTCTGACTTCTTCATCTTCCACATCTTATTTCTGCCCAC